ACTCTTCCCTCAGACGTTTTCGTGTGTGTGTATGTATGTGTGTGCGTCGGTGACGTACGTTCTCTGCGCCCACCGCCCAGGCGTTTTCGTTTGCGTATTTATTGCTTCTCTCCATCTTTCCCTCTCTCTCTCTCTCTCTCTCTCTCTCTCTCTCTCTCTCTCTCTCACTCTTTTTCAGGCGCTAATCCTTGAGAGCATAAGGACAGCGCATATGGACAAGATTGTGTTTTGTGCGAGATTGGATTTAACACTATTTGAACTCCAAAGTTGGTGACTTTCATAGAATTTCATGGAAGTGTACAGTGATATACGGATAATATGTTAGAGTAACACCATCTTTCTCGAACTGTAAGTAGGATTTTCTCCATTGAATAAAAAATCAAAATCAAAATCAAAATCTCACCTTTCTCTCTCTCTCTCTCTCTCTCTCTCTCTCTCTCTCTCTCCCTCTCTCTCTCTCCCTCTATCTCTCTCTTTCTCTCTCTCTCCCCCCTCTCTCTATCGCTCTCTCTCTATCTATCTATCTCTTTCTCTCTCTCTCCCTCTCTCTCTTTCCCTTTCTCTCTCTCTATCTATGTATCTATCTTTCGGCATATTATATATATATATATATATATATATATATATATATATATATATATACCGTCAGGGGGGCTCTCGGGGTCTAGAGGTTAAGGTGTTCGCCTCTCATTCCATAGGTTCTGGCTTCGAATCCGGATAGCGACGGGGAATTTTCCTCACTAATTGTTTTTTCCCTTTCACATCTTTTACTGTTCTCTAACAATGTTCTATCGTCTGCTTGCTGCCCCTACACTGTCACACACACACACACACACACACACACACACACACACACACACACACACACACACACACACACACACACACACACACACACACACTCACTCACTCGCACACACACACACACACGCGCGCGCGTGCACACACACACACACACACACACACACACACGCACACACACACACTCTCACACGCACGCATACACACACACTTCTTGTCGTTTCTGTATACTTTTTCATCTTCCCTGAACTAGATTTAATTTTCTTGGACGTATCTATCGTCAAACGTCACTAAAATGTACATGTATTGTGATTTGCATGCGACTTGTTTTGTTTGTTCCAACATGAATGTTTTTTTATCTGACTGTTCTGAATTGTTCCATTTTGATTGCTTGATATCTTAGGTGATTGGTAACTTGTTACATCGTTAATTGTAGGTTAAGTTGTGCGCCAACTAATTTTTTAAGAACTTGGTTGAAAGACCAATATATCGAGAACTGTATGTGCATTAATTCTCTGTTTGAATGACTGAGAAAACTTTGAATTGATTAGTTCTCTCCATCTTTCCCTCTCTCTCTCACTCTTTTTCAGGCGCTAAGCCTTGAGAGCATAAGAACAGCGCATATGGACAAGATATGTTATTATATGTTATTAATTCAGTCTCGTTTTATGGAATGACAGAAAACTACAAGAGATAAAAAAAGAATGAGTTTGTTTTCTTTTTCTTGGAATATTTTGGAATTAGATAAGCGAATCACTAGATGCCTAACACAAAGATTAGATAGTCCACGAGTAAAACTTTCACTAAATTCTCTCCAGTGTAAGTTATTGGGTGTTCGCTGAATAGTATCAGGTATTATAAAAGAAAGGACCCATTTAAAAGGCAATAACTCACCATCTTTAAACCAATTTCAACCAAACTTTAAAGAAATAACATTCAACTAGGAAGAAGTTACATTTCTTAGTATGAAAGAAATCAACAGACTTGTTTTAAAAAAATCAAGATTTTACAATTTCCTCCAAAATTGAGTGAAACGCAAAACTTTGCAGTTTCTTAAAAATCAACCTTTTTTTCTATTTCAAATAGTCGCTGTTTGTGAATAGAAGAGCAAATTTATACAACATTGATATTGTCAATTTTTTTCTGGGATTTCCAGATGTTGGCTTTTTTTCTCAATAAAAGCTCCAGTACGCCACCCAAAAAAATTGAATAACCCTGTGTCATGTTTCTGGGTTGCTTATTTGGACATTGAGTTTCAATTATCTATTAGTTTGTGAACTATTTTTGTAAACCGTGTCTGTCCAAAAACCCAAAAGTTATGAAGAGGCTGAAGTTGGAAGTTTATAACCTAATAGAACTGAAAAGGGCGTTAAACTCACTCATTTATTTATTTACGAGAGTTCTTCTACTTCTGATTGTTCTGCCCCCCCCCCCCCTCCCGCAGGTCAACAGCGTGATACAGTAAGCCAGGACTATTACCCTGGATGTCTGCCGGGATTCGCCATGCCCTCCGCTAGCCCCATGTATACGGTACGTTCAGAAAGATAATAATATGGGGTGTTTGTTTTGTTGTTTGTTTGTTACTCGTAATAATATTACTTATATTAATATTATATAATATGATATATT